TTTCATATGTATATTTTTAAAAAATATATATAATTGTATACCATTATTCCTACCGAACATCTTTACTGTTATTTTTTATTCATTTCGGCCAATATACATAAAAATGTTAGGAGTGCCAATCAATATAAACTTAAATGTGAGAGTTCAATTTTCAAACATACGCAGCAGCCTGAAAAGAAGCATTATGTCTATATTCAACTCAACAATCCATAAGAAACATTAAGCACAAAAATTTACTTTCCATCATCCAGCTGAAACTTAGTTGACAATAGAAACTTCACATCATCACTCACTAAATACCTGCTTTCGATGTTTTCAGCAGTACTACGGTTGAAAAGAAACAACCGGAAAAGTCATTTCCAACATCTTTATAAGAAAACGCAAGCGTTTATTGATACACGAGACTACATTTGAATAATATTGTGTCGTGTATCTTCAACTTCAATCTCGCTGCTTTTCGAATCTCTTTGTTTTTAATAATGCCATACCTTTAACTTCACTAGTAAAAGTAATCAGGCATATTCATTCCTATATATATGTTCCCAGTGCAAAAGTATATGTCAAGCAAAAGACCAGGTTTTGTATTCGAAATTATTAGCAAAGTCTACTGGTGCATAGTGAATAAGAGTACACCGGGTGAATATCATTTGAGGATGTAAATTTCATCTTCAATCATCATCTACTAAGCCTTGAGAGCATCCATTCCAACACTAGCCTGTCAAGAGGAAGAAAAATAAAATTATTTCTCAACTTGTATCAAATGTCAAATAAAAGGGAGAAGAAAAAAAAAAAAAAAAAAGGACACTCAAAATCTGATTTGATGTGGTCTTTCACGGCTAGATATTTTACCAAGAATTTGTGGTTTTCCTCGAGAAACGGTGAGAATGTAGTGCAGAATTTCTCAATGTCGCCATTAATGTCACCACTTCCAGCCACGACATCAAAAAACTTTTTCCTATCAGGAGCAAGCTTCATAGCAACCTGCAATTTATAGACCACGCGTGTAATTAGCGCTTGAACGGCCAATTTCAAACTTAAACTGCGTTAATTGTTACATGGGCTCACAAGTACATTCAACCCCTACTTTCCAGCTTCTCATTCCAAATCAGTTAAAAATTTAGTAATTTGATCAAGGATAGGTTCGTGATTAACAATGACAAAAATGAAAATAGCGAGTTCATGAGGATTTGCATACCGTAAAACTTGAACTGGCCAGCCAACCATGCCACTGTTTCAGAGTCTTGCCATAAGAATCACTACAAGCTTGGGACATTGCCCAGTCTTCATGATGAATAAGATTCCTAAATAACTCCACCAAGAAATCCATTGCCCTAAAGGACAAATAATGTTTTAACTTGTTCGAATATTATAAAAATCAACATCCTATCTAACACGTTTATATTCACGCAAACAAAAACTTAGAAGAAAATCAAAGAATGTTAACACAACATTGGATGTAAGATAACTCGTTCATTTCATGTTATACCTTGTCAACCACAAAAGACCATTGGTGCAACTGGACGAGCCTTTAGCAGTCTTGGCATCAACTTCTTCTTGTACCATGCTGTACAAATGGTTATATTTAGTGGGATTGGACAAGTACTTGTTCTCTAACCTCTGCAGTACATGGAAATAAATAAAATGAGGATGTAATTTGATTAAGGAATATGTTCAGAGAGGATCTCAGACGGGGCCATCAGTTGGGACGAAGAAAATATACAAGTATATGACACGAATGGGAGAAAAAAAATCTCACAGTTATATTGCCTCCAATATCAGTCTTGACAAGTGCCATAGCAGCTCCAAACTTGTCTGCAAAAAAGGCAAAGGAAATTACATTTTAATCACCATTTCTTACAAGCCCATTACTATAATGAACTAAACACATAAGAACACATGAAATACTACATATAGACTGTTCTTCATAGACTATTAATATCTCCGATGAAGTTAAGCGGAACACAATGTTTCAAAGAAAAATTGGTGTGACTTACCAAACTAAATGCAAAATACATTCCACTTTATGGTTACATATCAATTCAATATTTAAGTAAAATTTCCTTCATGTTGAGTCCTTTACATAATCGAACGGAGTAAATCCATTGTTGCATATAGAAAATAGTGACTAGGGAAAAAAACAATGAAAATAATCAACTTAATTAGACCAGCCATCCATACAACGAAACTGATTCATAATCTGAGGAGACCAATAATGATGCTGGTGTAGCTAATGTAGCGTGCTCAAACAATGCCAAAGTCAACCAATAGACGGTTTTATATTGTAAATCAGTAGCGAATAATTACCAATAACGGGCAAAATAAGCTTGCACACATCCAAGAATGGCTTCGTGAGCATCACCCCATCTTCCGATTTAACATTCTTCATTCCTTCCAGGGCAGGGGTAAACACAGTCCCTTCCATTTTGCACTAAACTGCACTTATCAAACAACAACATTTCAACATAAATATATATATATATATATAAAAGAAAATGAAAATACCCCGTTTAATCCTGGACTTCATAAATCATATACATCAATGAAATCACTTGCCTTAATATTTTTCAGCTGTAACAAAATTATGCCAAAGATGTGTGAAATACGACTCTATCTCTACTAGAGAAGTCTAGAACAGCTTATGCATTTTAAGTGCAAGAAGATGAATGAGCAGAT